CTTTGAGCATCACCGGTTTGCATTGCTCGTGACTTGACTGTGCATGTTTTATTTAAGCTTTTGGTATTCATAGGGCAAGCTGGGTGGAAGCACTGTCACATTTTTTGTTTCCTTTTCTCTGTTCCTCAAGAAATTCAGGTGATTTTCCCTCAAAAAAAAAATCTCTGAAATTGTTGACCAGCTGAGGTTATAAACGTACCATGTCATTTAGTTTATTACTTTTCCGGAGTGGCTGGGCTGCCTTTAAGGCAGTTCTCATAAAAATCTCCTGCTAATCAGGAGTACTCAAACCTGTGAAAAGTTTGTCCTTTTTTTGCAGTTAACAATATTTCCTCTTAACCAGTTAATTATATCTGAAAGCAGGAAAGTCCTTATAATGGTGATGATTTGGTACAGGCACTGTATGATCGGCCTGTTAAGAGTGGCAGTTTCTGTTTCATCTTTCAGTGTAAACTAAGGAGCAAACTTAAATAATTTCTACTACATGCATAACTCGGGAGGAGGGGGAGAGGGGGGAAACCCTGAACATATAAACCCATGTATTTCAATTTACACTTACTCATGAATAAACTTAAATTATCATAACACAACTTCAATCATTATAATACCACTCTTTTTATTGTAAGAGCCAAAGTAATTAATCTGTATATTTACGATCCTTGTCTATGATTAGTTTTCTGTCACAGGATGTGGTGAGTCTGTGCTGTTATGACTATATTTTATTTAATAATATTTTCCTACACAGTGCTGAACACTTCCTACTGAAGAAGCTGAATGGACAAATCCATGAAGATATCTTTCATATTCCCTGACAGTGAATGATGTTTCCATATATAAACATAATAATAGAGTCATTACATATGCACTCACATTATCGTAGCTGCTGTGTGCTCGGTATTACTCAAAACAAGGCAGGAAGCCAAATCTTCCTAGTTCCCATTTTGATTTAAATTGTATTTATAATAAAGGGATTTTCCTTCAACCTAAATGCAGTTTCATCCTAGTCCAACAAACCTCCCCACTTCTTTTTTTTTATTATTATTATTATTTTTCCTTTATTCTAGGTCACTCAGTCCTGATACAAGTGAAATTCTTCTCTGGTGGTGATAACAGGAGTGCTACTCAATGAACTATAACAAGGGCTCTAAATGCATCTCCTGTAGCATACCACAGTGATTTGCAAAAGTGGGAATAAATCAAAGCAGTGAAGAGATGCCGTGTTGAGCCAGAAGCTAAATGTTACATCTTGTTGCATGAGGCTAGGGGGAGAACAGATCCTGTTTTTCTGGCAGCACAATATCTTTGTGCTTGTTACCTCCGATCCAACCCCATTAAAACAATCATTCAGAATCTGCAGGAAATTGTCACCTCTTTCTTTCATGCAATGGCAGCTGGTATTGGTGCCTACACACATTTCTCATTTCCTTCAAGATTTTCTACAGACATAAAAAAAAGAAGCTTAATTTATATTAAAAAATGTGTCAGCTTACCCTGAGGCACAGCACGAGCAGCAGGGAAAAAAATAAAAGATAAATGCCTCTAGGTGAACTGGCAGAGGCTCTAATTCTCCACTCACTCTACTGCTACACAGTATGCACCGCATTAATCATTTCACATAGGCAGGCATTTAAAAAACTTCAACAATTTTAAAACAAAGATGCATTGCCCTAAACTTAATAATAATACAACTGTATCTTGTAGAACAATTTCAGTTCACACATACTGTATCCCCTAATAGAAGAGGTATAAAATAATATTAGTGTCTTCTGTGACATAATTTTTATTATTCAGTTTCTTTTGTCTGTACTGTTATGTCCTCTCTATTGGGCATTTTTGGGTGTGTGTATAAGTATACATATATAATGTTGTCATTTTTCTTGTTCAAGTGTTGACATATACAGGATGTTTTCCACCTCCCATTTTCATTGTGTGGCTGGGTGAATGCTTTATGTGATCCTAGTGAACTCTGTTACGCCTCAGTCCAATGCAAATTTAGTTTTTCTTGTAACTTTCTGTGCTGGGGAATAGGGAAATATTTTTCTCACTTTTCTAGCTTATGTGAATGTTACAACATTGCAATATTTTTCATTTTGTTTCTTCCTCATTCCAGAATTATCCTGTGGTCCACATGCTTAACAGTGCTAAAGTCAGAAAGTTAAGTACAAACAATACTTGAAGGTGGAAGGCAACATCGGGTCTAGAAATGTCACAGCGATATACTCAGACATCAAAGATGAGCAATAAAAAGCTGTGAGGGAAGGACTGCTTTAGGGGACAGGACCTATAGCTATGGCACCTCTAGTGCTAGTGAGAGCTATGAGAAGATGAGTAGAGATTTGGGTCACATGAAGGCCGTTGTTTCATTGCTTTGATGTACAAGGTGCTACAAGGCTGGCTGACCCAACCAGCTGGAGACAGTCCTCTCTTGGAGAAAGTATCAGCGGTTGTACAGTTGGCATGCATAGCTTTACGTTAGTCCCAGCATATTAGAAGACGTGACTCCAGAGAACACTCCATGGGCCCTGGATGGGTTGTTTGAAACACAGTTGTTGGACAACAGCATTTCCAGGAGCTCTGCAGCTGGCCTCAGTTGTATTTCAGGACTCCCAGCAGCTGCCTGAGAAGGTTTGCAGGGGTGAAAAGATGAGTTACTGTTTTGTACCTACCTCTCAGTGTTGTGCGAGTATAGCAGAGAACAGATAACTAGTCTGAGTAACATAGTCGGTCACCTATGAGGAAAGGCTGGATCAGTTATGAGGCAGATTTAAAAATAAGAAATGCAGAGATGAATTAGACTTTGTTAAAAATGCTGAGCAGCGATATATGTATGGGCACATTTTACACCCAGACCTTGTTCTTGGGGCTGTCACCTTGGCATATGACAACATGGCAGGCAAACTCAGTTGCTCCTGCATCGGCAGAGATTACTGAACAACAACCAAACAAAAGGCTTTTCAGTATGATGGGAAACTTGATAGGCATGGATCCTGCAAGTCAACAACTGGTTGTGCAGCTCGTGTTGACAATGGGGATCTGGCTTTTACAACCATGAGACCCGCTCTGAGGATCAAGGACTGTTAGGAAGAGATGGGATCCACTGTAGTGGAGCAAAGGCAGGCCAGCCTGTGACGAGAGCCTTATGCTAGGAATGATGGGGTGGGAGTGGATGATCAACAATCAAGTGAGGAAATCGTGGCCTGGGGCGACATGCAAAGTGAGCAGAATGATGTCAACAGGAGAGATGTTGCAATCAACAAAACAGGGCAGAAGCGGGCCCACCCCAAGGGCATCCACACAAGCAAGCAAGTGCCTAGAGGACAGCTCTAACACCTCTTTCTGGAAAACCCACATGACTGGATGCCTCTCTGAAGTGCCTGTACACTAACACACATGGCATGGGGAGGACACAGGAGGAATTCCATGCTTGGAAGGATCCCATGCAATATGATCCTAGAGAGAGGAGGGGTCCAGGAGAACTGGGTGATTTTCAAGAATCGCCTCCTCCAAGTTCAAAAATGATCTCTCTTGCTGTGGAGTAAGTCAAGGAAAGGTGGTAGGAGACATGCATGGATGAACAAAGCACAAAAGGAGGCGTACAAGAGGTGGAAGAAGGGACAGGTGATGCAGGAGGAATATAGACACTGAGTGTGCAGGGATGGGGTTAGGGAAGCCAAAGCCCATTGGGAGGTGAATCTGGTGAGAGAAGAAAAAGGCTGCTATGCATGCATGAGTAGCAAAAGGAAGACTAGGAAAATGTTGGTCCGCTGCTGAATGGGGTGGGAGACTTTGTGCCCAAGGCCATGGAGAAGGTAGAGGCACTTGGTGCCTTTTTCACTTCAGTCTTTAAAGGTAAGACTGACCTTCAGAGATCTGAAGCTTCTGATGCAAGTGGGAAAATCTGAAGCAATTCAGACTTCAATTCAGTGAAGGAGGATCAGGTTAGGAAGCTTTTAAATAGGTCCATGAGAACTGATGGGATGCACCAAGTGCTGAGGGAGCTGGCCATTCTTCATTATCTTTGAACGGTCATGGCAATGGGAGGAGGTTCCTGAGGAAGCATGCAAATGTTCTCCTGTCTTCACAGAATCAGCTCTGAGCAAGGGGTTTGGAGTAGATGATCTCCAGGGCTGCCTTCCCACCTCAGTCACTCTGTCATATATCTGTGATTCTGTATCTTCTGAAGCCCATTCTTCAGTGCCCAGGAAGCTGTGTGACATTTAAAAAAATCCTGAAACTTTTTTCTACAATTTCTCAGGCAGTTTTCCACAGTTTTCCACAATTTTCTCTGGAGACAGGCTGTCTCAGGAGATCCATTTGCTGACTGCAAAAATTTCTGGAATTTCCTTAAGGTATTAACCCTCAGAACGTGTTAGCTTATGGCATGCACAGCTACCATCACGGAGGAAATGGCAGGTTTAAATGGTGCGTAGTTTGGTAGGGCAAAAGGAATTTGTTGGACAGTGTCTATATAAACAGTATTGCACGAAACAGGTGCAAAAACAGCACGAAAGGTGGTGTGGATGTTGGATGGATCTGTGCGCAGTGGGAGGCTATAAGAAGTGCAAAATCAGAACACCAGGAAGGAAAATGCTTTGAATGTCTGGGCACAATTTAAACAGCAGGAACGTGAGTATGGCCTGCAGTAGTAGTTTGATCACACACAACAGTGAGGTACAGTTCTAAACGTCCATTTTACTCACACCTTTTTCTTCAAAGGTTAGTCGTTTGTGCTTGTTTTCACACAGATATAGATGGATTCATAGCATCGTTAAGTAAGCAATGGAGAATCGGCCCTTCGGCTCTTTGAAGGAAAGGCTAAGGATGGGGTCTAAGTCTTTAGTTGGCATAGGATGGCATTTTTCTACTGAAGTCAATGCGCCTACTTCAATTTACAACTCCTAGTATCTGGCCTGAGTGCTGCAGAATGAGTAAAGGGCAGGAGAAGGTGAGGAAAACACCCACAATTTGGTAATACCTATTTTATAGTTAAGAAGTACAGCCTAGGAACTTTCTTTGTGATAGTGAAACTGAACTCCTCTTGGATCAACTGATGAATATGAGTCGCATGTCTTTTGAAGGCTCTTAGAGAGAGTCTTGGGTCCACAGAAGAATACTCCAATACTGCTGCTGTAATCAGAATAAAACATGAGAGTAGCAGAGTGAATGGATAAACTGTACCTTTTGACTGCCTCCGACTTTGCATCTTTTGACGTGGCTTTTTAAGAAATACATTTAAAAATTTTGTGTTACTTTCACAAAGTATTACAGTATAATTATTTTAATACTTTAGTGTGTATTATGTCTTATTGCATTATTTATTTGGATTGCTATATTAGAGGTCACAAACTGTTTAAATCATAGTTCTTTGGTTTTGATCTGAATAGCTTTTTTAAATCAGATAAGCAAACACACTGCTTGGGTTGAAAATTTTCAATGCTTTTTCTCCAGCTAAGTTGTTTTTCTTTTTCTAAAAAATACACAGAATTTTCAGTTACTTCTGAGTTTTCTTCTTCTCCCCCTCCCTCATTTTAACACTTTTCTGCCTATGGACAATTTTTAAATGACTGATTTGATAACAAAATTTGTCAATAGGTAGTTCTTATAAAATAAGAACATGACCAATGTAATGAACAGTTGTGTTCATAAGGACACAAGTCTGTTACAGGGAGCTGGAAACCTGGTTACTTGCTGCAAAGTGCCTTAAAGGGTTTGCTTCTAAGTACACAGCACATAGTGCTGTAAAACGTTATGTATGTACGCACAGATACACATGCATGCTGTGCTACTGGAGAAAGCTCAATCTACATAAATGCAGTGCAAGTGACAAGTGACAGCATGAGTTTCAAAAAGTTTGCTCCTGTAAGGGAGGGGCTGTAGATACGATTTTGGTGCCTAAGCCATAGAACCCAGAAGTAGTGCCCACTTTGCACTAGGTTGAACCTGGAGTGGTATATTCCTGCTAATCCACTAAAAGACACTGTTGCAGCCAAGGGAAACTCCATGGACCTAGGTGCAGGGATCCAAAATTTAGTGAGTTCGTAAAAGCTAGTTGCTCCACCACACAATAGAAACTCTTGAGTTTCTTTGCCTCTTGAACCTTCTGTAACTCAGAGCAAGAAAAGGTAGGGTATTTTTTTCTCATCAGGAAACCTTATTTCATGCGAGGTTTTCTTTAAAAGGTTCAACATTGACCGTAAACATGGGCATCTAGGTTCAGAAGCAAATGGAGATTTTTCTGGCACTTTTGCACTGGCTTTCTAAGGAACTACCACAAGAGCCAGTATAGAAAGTTAATGTTCATCTCCCCCCCTGAGCATCAGAAAACCAGATTTTTCTCATTTGTACTTAACAAAAGTAACAAAAAGTAATGTGTCAACTATAACTTTAAAAGCTCTGTTTATGCAGTAGAATCCCTATAAAAGGTCTTTCAGAAAGCATATTTTCTACTCTTGGCCTTTTTCTATTTTTAATCTTTCATATTTCCTGATTGTATTTATTTTGACCTCCATCAAGTGGCTTTTCTATTACTGTTATTTTTGCAATTTTATGGTACTCTTGTAGCTTACTGTATTCTCTTTGATCTCCTCCCTTTCAGCTTTTTCTTGGGTCTTTTTCATCTTTTAAAAAAAAGTTTTCTTCTTTTTCTTTTTGTATCTCTGTCTCCCAAGTGCAAGCCTTTATTTTGCATTAGCAGGTAAATGTTTGGAAATCATAAAGAGTCACAAAGATTCTGGAGTTTTCTGCTGCTGAACACAAAATATTTCAAATTCTTGCTTCAAAGGCTTTCAGGAACAAAGAAGCTTTTCTCAGACCACTGGCGAATCCACCAAGTTCAAATGAACTGTCTTTGCCAGCAGAGATGAACTAATAACAGAACAGCATAGTCTTGCAAGAGTAGCCAAATATGTTAGGGGAACAAACATATCCTTGACATCATAAGAAAAAAATCACAGTTTATCTCTTTAATAACCATCTTCAAGGGAAATTAATGCTACTTTGTCCTTTGTGCAGAACAGTAATTGGATTGTGTGTTTCAATTATATCTGGACAAAGGCCAGGATATTGAAATACTTCTAAATATTAGATTTTCTTGTCCAAAAATTAGATTTTATTGGCATTCTCTTTCCGAGATTTCTTCATTAAAAGCTTCATTAAGCATAAATCTTCTTTCCACACAGCAAAAAACCTAAATTATTTTAAAAGGGTCATTTAGAAACGTTTACCCTCCCCTTCTCCCACTGTTTAGGCTGAGAGAAGAGTTACCTAACAAGGTTAGAAGCTGACCTGCCTTACCTAGGATGGTTTTCAGCTAGTTGCTTGAACTCATTGTCCCAGTTTGGCCTTCCATAGGAGGTCTTTTGTCTCAAACCAGTAATTACGTCCATCTTGTCATCATAATGTAGAGCTATGTGAGTAGCCTAAAGGCAAATTTACAAGGTAATAATTTTAGAGTCAACAGCATATACTCCAAGTAAGAGGAGAAAGCAATAATGCTGCTTTGCTGTGAAAGATGGAAGTATTAATGAAGGAAAGGAAACTGTAATTTTAAAAGGGCAGGAGAGGAGAGGAGAGGAGAGGACAGGAGAGGAGAGGACAGGAGAGGAGAGGAGAAGAGACGAAGGGAGAGGAGTACTCAGGAATTCACAATATTACTAGAGCTGTAAAAAGCACTTTCAAAGGCGCCCAAGACTTCAAAGGAGTTCAGTTTCTTGAGATGGAATGTTTGAAATGAATTGGGATTAAATACCTGTCTTTACTGGCCTGGGCCTAAGTGCCTCGGTCACTTTTACAGGCAGGTCTTAGATTCCTAAACCTCTTCTCAGCCTTTGAATACCTCACCCTACACTTCCTTCATTGCAGACCCTGAAGTGACAGTCACCATTTTAAGGCTGAGTTGGAGTTTAGGAAAGGGAGCAAAGGGTACTGTAACAGAGTTTAACAATGAATATTAGCAATTACATGCACCTTAAGTAAGTCCAGAGCATTCTTCTGCTGATGGAAAAGACAGTGCATGTAAAACCCTGAGTGTTTGGGCTCTTCTCCTCGGGCGGAAGCAGGTGCAGAAAGTGGATCAGCTCAGGTGAAGCACTGAATGAAGTGAGCTGCACAGCTCCCTGTGCTAAGAAAACAAATCCTGATTTTAATGGGCATTTACTGTCTCTCAGCTCCTATGCTATGCCCCTTACCATGCTGTCTGAGTACATCCCAGATGCATTTAAAAAACAAACCACCATCTCTCCTAATTGTGCCGATATTGTGTAGGAGTAATACGCTTGCTTTCACTACAGACTATCATCGTTACTCTCACTGTCAAGAAATTATCAGAGGAAAGCTAAGTTAAAAAATGGGCTTTGCATTTAGTTCAGACCCTAGCATGAACTATCATCTCTTGCAGAAGTGGTTGCTGAAATTTAGCTCCTTTTCCTGGGAATATTGTATATTTCTTATGTTAAAGAGTCTTCCATGTTGCTTAACAACTCAATTATTCTGGTCAAGCACAGTTGTCACAGAGGTCATGTTTCTAAAAGGCTCTTCTTGTTAGTTGGGTCAATGTCATGGAGGACTTGGAACAGTCTAAGAACGAACTTGATGTGTTTGGTAGGAGTAGGAGGTGGGGAACTGCAGGATTTTTTAATTGTTTACAGTAAAATTGTGCCACTGAGCAGATGGGCTATTTCTGTTCACATTAAGTGGAATTTTTCCAGGATTTTTGGTGTTAGCCCCTGCTGTAGCTCACAGCACTAAAGTTGCCTAGGAATCTCAGGGGCATTGCAAGGAACAATAGGGTCAAATGTGATTTCTTGTCCAAGCACAGGCAGACATGTGCCGTATCTGTTTGACCATCTGTTGCCAACATGGAATCTACAAAGAGCTTGAAGCATTGAACAAACATTATGTCTAAGGACTGAGGACTAAACACCTGCCAGTGGCGGAGGGTGTGCTAGAAGGTGTAAATTGCCTGTCCTGCTTGGGTTCAGCTTCACCCAACTACTGGTCATCTATATGGTGAGACAGGGAGAGAATGGGGAGAATGTTGGTTTTGTTGTTTGCTAAGGGAGAAGTAAAGCAAAGCATCATCCCACTATTACTTGTACTGAAGCTCGAATTTTGGGGACTGGTGAACTGGAATTTACTAAAGATAAGTAAGATCTATAAGATGAAGGAGCTTTGTGGATGTCTGAAGTAGGTGGAGCTGTTACCCAGCACAGTTTCCTGGGTTTGATTGGAGTAGGAGAAGCAGCCACTGAAAAGCATTCATCTTCTCGCAGTGCCCTTTAGAGGTGGGATGCTGGGGGGCTCAAGGAGTAAGAGCAGTACCACTGTAGGCAGGGAGGCAGCCCAGCTTCAGGGATGCTCCTGTGTCACCTAATCAGCAGCACAGGATAACGAAGCAGTGCTGACAGGAGACTGGACGATGGGATTTGAAGAGAAGAAGGAGGCACTTCAGAAAAGTGCAGGACACATGAGTGAAGAGAGTCAGACATCCCAGCAAGAATAGTTTTCTGGCCTGATGTTTGCCCAAGAGGGAAGTGGGATGATGACAGTTGAGAGATGAGGGCAACTTTGTGTTTTGTTAGGTTCCTCAATAGCTTCTTTCAAAGCAGGTTTTAGGTAATACCCTGTGATATTGCTAATGCAGAGTGGTAGTTGCTATAACTGCCATGTACTTCACGGTGGGGGTAGAATTTTCTGAATGCAGTTTTATGCACATACCTCATTACTTGACAGAAACAGTAAGGAAAGCAGAAAGAAACAATGTTTTTTAGTGGCAGCAGAAGCAGGAAGGGAAAAGCTTTATGAAATCTGTTTTTTTAATCTCTACTAGACAGTCCTTCATTCAACAGAGACAGCAGGAAATAAAACAGTACAGCAAAGACTTTCCTGTGAGAGTTTTTCTGGCAGCTGCCTACCTCTGATTGCAGTGTGATCTGAGTGATCCTTTCAAAAAAAAAAAAAAAAAGACAGAGAAAAAATAAACTCATTTGGGTTTAGGTAAAGGCTAAAGAAGCTGAATAAAATTGACCCAGTCTAAGGAGTAAGTGCCTCAAGGGGGGATGATCCAATGAAATTACGAGATGGCAAATTTGAAGTCAATCAGAGAAAATGTCTTTTCAAACAACGTGAATTAGACCATAGACTTTGTTGCCAAAATGTTGTTAGCGCAGCAGGTTTCAAAAATGCACTGGACATATATGTGAACAGCAGAAATTATAGTAAATAAAAAGAGGAAACAAAATCAACACTTTTTATATGACCCTCCATGTTTCAGTACAAAAATGCCAGAATCTGTTTAAAGACCGTTCCAAAGACGTGGACAAAATGTCCCTTCACAAGCTCCTGAAAGGCTCTCTGCGCTTTTCTGTGAGACACCTGGTAATCAGCACTGCCCAAGACATGATATAGGACTGGAAGGATCACTGGCTTGATTTCTCCGTTCCTGTTTTCCTAAATGTGAGATGGAAACAGATGGCTTGATGTCTTTATATTTACAGTTCTTTGTCTCTCTGCTTCATCCATCATTTATTCAGCTGTTCCTGTTCCATATGTTACCATACTGGAAAAGCAAGGTACATTAACTCAGACTCGTAAGAGTTTCATTATTACCTGACTTTCATCCCAGCCAGTAAGAAATGTATGATAACTGAGAAAATCATTTTTCCCCTTTTCAGCCATTTTTGTTTCCAAATGGAACAGAAGATCAGCAAACCACTCAAATGCTGATGGGTCTCGACAAATCCAGTAAAAATAAACCTGTCAGATAAAAGTAAAGAGATTTAACAAGGAGCAAACTTTCAATAAAACTTCCTAATGCTTGGCTCAACTCATTAACCACATAGTGTGTGACTCTTCACTGTAAATTTAAACATAATTACACATCATTTTGATGATGTAGTTTCTATCTTTTAAAAATTTCATTTTTTTCTTAAACATTGAGTTTAAAAAGTGCTAGTGAAGATAGGCAATGGACATGTTTCCCATCTCCCCCTGCCAGCACATCTGAACATTGACTTATAATACCTAACCCTGCGTTTCTTGCAAATAATTTGATTTTTCTTTGAAATTTTGGATTTATTTTCAGTTATGCTTAAAAGGAAACTTCAGTTTCATTCAGCACTGAAGCAAGGAATTCCTCTTTCTCAAGACCTCATGCCATAGGTTAACAGTTGATGTGGACAAAAGATAAAGTTATGTTCTTCAAGTCAGATACCCTGTATAAAACAGCCTACAGAATGCCCCTACTTCTTTTTTAATGTATTTCTTGTTTAAACTGGAGCATATAATTTCTAGAGAAACATGAAACTGTAATTTTAAAGTTACCAAAGGGGTAAAATGAACCACTATGCCATGATTGGTTTTCTATTGGTTGAAAAACTCTGTGAAAAACTTACACAGCTTTCTCTTCCAGGTTTCTCTAGCTTCATCTTCCATATGCTTGATCTTGTTTTACTTGTCTATTGGATTGGAGAGCTTGTTAGTAACGTTTTGTTCCCCAGGTAGAAATTCGAGTCTGGCATCAAGTCATCCTGTAAACCTCTCTATGGGAAACCAAACATTCCTGGGATCTGTCACTGAGATGCTCATTTTCCATCCTTTAATCATTCCTATGACTTCTGTCTATTCCTCCTCTACTGCAGTCAGTCACAAACAGAGCAGAGAGTTTGTTTAAAAATAAAAAAAAGCTAATTTATTAGGATCTTGGTATAGAGTAATGCTTGCATAGGGAGAAAATCTTTCAAACAAGATGGTTAGTCACTGTCCATACGATGACGAGAGGTTCTGTTTCAAGAATCCTTGCTGTGGCATCTTCAGCTGGATCAAGTGAGACTACATACAAAGCATCTTCTAACTAATTACCTATGTATAAAAGATTGTCCTGTGTGACCGCTTCTGCAGGAGCAGTTTCTGCTGACCATTTGCAAATGTCTTATCTGTGTACAAGTTAACCAATTTTGCACCAGGAACTGCCTGTGGAGTCTCAGGACTAGTGAGATTCCCCTCTCAGGATCTTTGTCAGCACACTGAGACATACCGTTGTCCTAGGCCGAGCAGGAGTTGCCTTAGGGAGTCTTCAGGACAGTCAGAATCTCCCACCTGGAAATCTCCTCCAGCAAGGCTGTGCTGCGAAGGGGACCTGGAGTACAACCCATCCCCTGGTTCCAGCTCAGTCCTGTGTCTCGAGCCGGTCCAGCTGTGTGGATGACTAGACTGGGGGTTCTGCACATCGCAGGGGATGAAGGTCTGAAGTTCCCTGGGTGTCTGCCCAGGCACTACCCTAATACCTGGCTGAACCACAATTATAAGACAAATATGATTGCAATTCTTACAACTCAAAATCTGTAGCTCTTGCCACACAATCCATCATTACATTTGAACAGAGGGTGTGAGACTTTGAATGGGCCTCTGTAGGCAATGTAATTTTGAGTGTAATTATTTATGTAGTGCCTCCAAAGAAATAATTCACAAACATGGAGGAAGCCTGAAAATACAGAATTTCAGATGAAAAAGGAATGGCATGGAGGACAATGTATAAGCTTATAACAAAGGGATGGTTGGAACTTGTTCTATTGTGACTGTGATTTTTATTTTGTTGCAAAATCTCTTAATTTCCTCCAACTCATCTCTCTTTGTGCTCACCAGCCCCTCTGTCTTTTTATTATACCTCAATATCAAAGGTAATCTGGAAGGTCTGTCTCCAAGGCAATCATCGTGGGAGCTCGGATGATTTGGAAATTGTAGCCCTTTTCCATAGGATCAATGAGATAAAGACACATATTAGACACTTCTAAAGTGAAAAATCAGAGAAGAAACCGGAAAGCTATTAAGAAATTTCCCAAAGATTTAATAAAGTAGGTTGTCAGACTTCTGGTAAAGTGGTGGGAGAAAAATGTGGTAACACCATGCTTCACTGGAGAATTGGTAAAAGAGACTAACAGTAATTTGAGATGTTTCCTAGACCTGAGTGTGCTGTAAGGGACCATCTGTGGTTTCTGTAAGAACTATAAATGAAGTACGATCCCAGGAACCAGAGGCATTCAGGGTTAAGTAGGGTATTTTTACAGCCCAAGAATGGGACTGTCTGCAGAACTGTAGTACCAGCTATCTTGACTGTGTGCTTTTCCCCCCTCTGTTTTGATGTTTTGCCTTCAATATAAGCTCCTGGCTTTACAGAGGGGTTGCTGCTGTTTTACGCTGGCATAGGTTATAAGGAAAAAGCAAGCCCACTGACTTTATACCATTTCATTTTTCTGACGAACAGCAGCATTATTTTAAATTACCGAAACTAGGTAAGATTTATAGCCTTAACCTTTACGTAGTTTTTTGTGTCTGAATCCTGAAGTGCCCACTTGTTCCACAGCCTCAGCACCTCAAAAAAATCAGACCACTGAGTGCTGTCAGTCTGTATCACACTGTGGCTGTTGATTTGTAATGAGAAATTTCTTCCGCCAGCCTCTACTTGATCGTCTTATTTCTCAAGTTCATTTTATGGAAATGTATCTTTAGTGGACATGGAGAGGAGCCATGTGCTTCTAAAAGAATAAGGAATTGTGCATGGGGGCAGAACTGGGAGCCGAGCACATTCAAGGAAGGAGGAAGAAAAGCTAGCTGATAAGTTGAGACGATGTGGTCTTTGAAGCAGGGGACTGGTTTCCAGAAGATCAGGCTGTGGAGCTTGAAGGAGTGCTTTTAGCTGGTTGCAGACCTAGCTGTCACAGTAACAGCCAGTGCAACCAAATTAGGTCAAGCTGCCTCCAGCACAGTCCTCTTGAGAAAGGATGTAGCTTTCTGAAACCACAGAAATTCCATAAACTCATCCCTGGTGAGGTTCCGCTGAAGCAGTACCCATTGCACTGCCTCTAATTTTCACGTTAGAGTTGGAGAGCATTTGGTAATGAAGAAAGACTGTCTTCATAAGAAGTATTTTTGGCCATGATTATAATCTTAGAAAGAAAAGAGCTAGTGAAGAAAGATGGCCTACGGGTAAAAGGTCTCTATCTCCCTTAGATCAAAGAGGACTTCTAGTATAACATGTTAAAATAAATGGTGTTTACAAAGAAGTCTTCCTTTACACTGACTGCCCATAGCATAGCACAACATATTACATGTATAATTAAAATACAATAAATGCACAATAAAATTAATCTTTATTAAAATTGTAGAATAAAGCCAGCATCAGTGCATTTCTATAATTAAACAACTATTCTGAATCCTATATTTTTTTCTTATAAGCCTTGTACTATTAAGTGACTGCAATTATATAGGATCCTTAAAAATCTGGTTTAGATTTATGTTTCATTAGTCTCCACCCACCCTACCCCCATCGACTACGTTCATCAGCTTGATGGCTTACCCAAGTAAACTGTCTTAAATTTTCCAAGTGCTCTTTTTGCAAATTGAGTTAGATGCAGTATTGCTATTAATCAGATCTGTAATGCAGGGTTTTGAGTAGTCGCTTATATCTGTAATACTCTGCTCCCTTGCAATGCATGCATATTTATCATTCAGTTTCTCACATCCTGAATTTTGTACGACAGGCAAAAGCAAGAGCTCCGATACCTCTTTGCTGTAAGGTGAAACAACATACTTTGTAAATCAGCTTCCATCATGTGGAAAGTCATTAATAATTATTTGTTGATGACCATTCGTCTGTTTCTCCCTGCTCCCTAAAGACAGAGGTGGAGCTGCAGCTTTGGGCAAAGCCAGCTTTTCACCAAAGGGGTGTAAAAGATGATCAAGCAGAGGATGCTCAGGGAGGCACCTTCATCCCTGACTCTTGCTGCACCCTCTTAGACATGACGAGTCCCTGCAAAACCCTCTGACACCTGCATCTGGGCACCTCCCTGCAAAACCCCACTCCTTTCTGCTCCATCCATGGGCTGTAGAGTACCAAAAAAGATCAGAGATCTTCCTCAGCCTAATTAATTGATCCAGTGGGCCACTACAGGTATGGTGCAGCAGGAGACAGGGGTTTGGCAGCCTGCATGATGGACTGACTTAGAGCTAGGGTGGCAGCAAGCAGCCTTTAAATGCAGGACCAAGGCTCAAATTCATACCACTAAATTTGAAGCAAGAGGCCTAAACTGTTCTGAAACACAGCTCAGAAAGATGGTTACGTTTGACAGCAAAAAAAGCCCAGGTTTTTAGGTCTTTGGGAGAAGATGTTTTGCAGCGAAGGCTGTGGGCTGGGGCAGAGCTCAAAGCAGAAGGTGACCTCAGGCAGGGACGGTCGGTCTCAAAGGAAATGGAAGAGGATGTTTCTGTTTTCCTCACTGTAGCTGAACTTACTGCCACAACTTGCTGTGGCTGTCAAAGGTCTACATGGGTTCAAAAAGCAATTAGACAAATTCATGGCAGAAAAATCTACTACAGAGATGCAGCTCTTGTATCAAGACATTCCTGAACTGCAAGTTGCTCAACGGCGAGAAGGTGTCCACTAAAGACATATCCACCGTATGGTTTCCTGGTCTGTATGCTTTTCCCTAGGTGTTCATGAACATCCACTGTTGGAGAGAGGATATTGGGCTGGATGGGTCTTTGGTGACACTCAGTAGGACCTTTCTTATGTCCTCATGTAGGGTAAAAGAGAAAGTGGATGTTTGCTAATATTATCATCTGATGGATCGGTACCATTTTATCAATTTCAGCAGCAATTGATCTGAAAAATGAGACCACTAATGTGAAAAAAAGATCATTTTATGCATAACTAAAGCCAGTAGAAACTTTCGAGCCATGACTAGTAGTAGTACCCTTCCTCATTGCAAAAAATGATAGGGAAATGAAGACTCTAAGGCTATTTAATTGTGAAGAATCAATTAGATAAATGTGTACTCCTTTTGATTTGCTGGGCTTTTTAAATTATACAGCCGCAGACATTATGGAAGCTATGAGTATTTATATCTCAACCGTACGTGGGCAACACTAAGAAATATTAGTTCAATAAGCGTAATGATAGCTGTACTCAAATCAAAACGAAGTTGTTAAAAAAAGAAAAACCTCTTATTTATTTCCTTAATAGACATTTCTATGGTACTCATCATGGCAGAGAGAGAGTGCTGAATAGTTTGAGGAAGATTAAATTATTTGTAATTATACCACAAGTGGAAGCTTTTAACCAATGAAAAAAAAATGTGGAGCTACCCTGAGATTAATCGTTCTCCCTAAGATGACTGCTGAATTTTTTAAGTAATGCTCTGAACTTCCCCAGCACCTTTTATCGAGGCTTTCAAAGTATTTTACAAACACCAATGAAGTTTAGCCTCATAACACCTGTGAAAAATAAGCATCACTGTTCCCACTGCACCAGTAAGGAAGCCAAGATGTAGAGAAAGAACATATAGAAATCATGATACTTGTGTATTTCACAGGAATTCAGAAAAACTGAACTCTATAGCAGAAAACCGTGGCAGAAGGCACCATGCATCTTTGCAGGCACACTTACCCAAGATTCAGCCTAAGCTATGGATGAAACCTGTGGGGTATACTATACTCTCAATGCATAGTTAAATTCTATTCTTTTCCCCTTAAGATAACAACAATGACAATAACAACAATTTTACTTGTATACATATAGAATATACATAGTATACATATATAACATGTATATGCATATATGTAGCTTTCCTTCCAGTGGAAAAGATCATTCTGGTACAATGGTAGTGTTTGCAAATACACTTCTTTTCACATCTAGCACATATTTTCATTTTTATTTCCCTCCCTTCTCAGTGCTTTTTCTGCCTCAAAGATCCCCCCTGGCAATTTGAACCTGTCCTCAACTCCTCAGTTACTAAAATGCCAGATGCTTTTTCAGTGGCAGCTTGTCATTAAGATGCC